TAGCCGGGGAAGGGAGGCCCCGATCAGCCCTGATTGCTGGCCAGGCCCAGGAACCCTACCCATGCACGAATTTCATGCACCGGGCCTCTAGTAGTCAGTCAATAATATTGTATAGGCTAATTGGGGTGATCAATCTGCAAGCTATATGAATATCATGCACCTGAAACTAATATTGTATATTAATTGTAATTGAAAAATGGTTTAATAGAAAAAAGTTCAGAAGACTTTGCAAGGCAAATAGAGTTGTTCAAGGAAATTGCATTTAGGGCCTGGGGTCTAAAGGAACCTGTTAACACTGTTCCCATGGCTGTGAGGCCCTGCTCCCACACCCTCGCCTCTCTGACCCCATGACCACTAGAAAAACATCATCAATAGAGACTAACTGAATTCAGAATTACTAAAACACATGGACAGTAAAATGTATAAGGCAAAGAAAATACAGCCCTGGCAGTGTGGCTCGGTTGAGTGTTGTCCCATGTACCAAAAGGTTGCTAGTTCCATTCCCAGTCAGGGCACATGCCCAGGCTGTGGGTTTGACCTTGGTCAGGGTGTGTACAGAAGAAAGCTGATTGATGTTTCTCTCTCACATCAATGTTTCTCTATCTCTCTCTCCCTCTTCCTTCCTCTCTCTCTCTCTCTCAAATCCATAAAAACATATTTTAAAAAATACATACAATAGTGGATATAATACACATAACAAAGGTGGACCCCATGCCAATGACATGTGAACAGGCCTCCTGATGTGTTCTTGTATCCTGGACTCGGTCCTTTTCCAAACACCACGGCCCCCAAGCTGACTGGGCTATCCCTCTTTAGGGCTGTGCCCGGAGGTGGAGGCCCACTTTCCTGTCACTTTGCATGAAAGCTGGCAACGATCCTTTTCTGCAACTTCCTGAGAACCCCACCACGACTTCTGGCTAGGAAAGCAGCCCAGAGAGCCAGTGGAGCTGTCAGGCAAGGAGGGAAGGAGGGTGGAGGAGAGGCCTGGGCGGGGCGACAAGGACAGGAGAAGGTGACAGGAGATGGCTGGGCTACACCCTTAGGTTCACAGCTAAACAAGACTCCAGGACAAACTGTAAAAATTATACTAGTACTTATCGTCTGTACATATATAGGTGCTCTAAACAGATGTAAGTTTGAATGCAATCCAAACTTCAAACTTCATTCAAACACACATTTAAAGTTAAAAAATTACATGTTACATTAACAATTCATTGGAGAAAAAATTAAAATGAAACTTTCAGTGAGGTTTCAGACTCAATCTCCATGATTTCTAACTAGTGAAGATCATAGTCACATGAACTTTGAGATGTTCTAAATCAGATTTTCTAAAAGTGTTTAAAGCTTTCCTTGTCTTGACTGGTTAGTAAGTATGATCCAGCGATTTTCAACTGGTGAGCCGCAAGAATTTTGAAAACATGCAACACCTATTTTATTTAGTCAGGGGCACTGACCTCTCTTCCTTTAGATTGTCAAATAAAAAATGACAACAGCCAACACAACAATAGCCACCTGGTGAGAATGAATCAAAATTATACCTATATTTTTTTGTCAGATCAGCAAAAAATATATTTTTGGTGTGCTACAGAACTTTAGTAATTGAAAAAGGTTGAAAATCACTGGTATCTATAATAATAAAAGGGTAATATGCTAATTAGACTGGACGTCTTCCAGACGTCATTCCGAATGTCCTTCCTGACGAAGCTGGGGCCAAAGGGAAGACAGCCTGGGTCCTGGATGCCTGCCAGTAGCCAGAGGAGGGAAGCCAGTGCCAGCAGCCAGGGGAAAGAAGGCCTACTCTTGCACAAATTTTTGTGCATCGGGCCTCTAGTAATCTCATAAATTTCAAATAACCCTGTTGGGGCTACTGACAGTGGGAGAGGTTGTTGGGGGTTGGGGATGGAGGACAAGGTGTATATTGGAAATTTCTGTACCTTCTGTTCAATTTTGCTGTGAACCTAATGAAGTTCATGTTAATAAGAATTTGCCTTGTTCTAAAACAGGTTTTTTAAGAATGTTTAGAGCTTTCCTTATCTTGACTGGTTAGTGAGTATGATCCTGCTCTAAAAGTTGTTTATTAAAACTTTAAAAACAGCCCTAACCAGTTTTGCTCAGCGGATAGAGCGTCGGCCTGCGGACTGAAGGGTCCCAGGTTCGATTCCAGTCAAGGGCATGTACCTTGGTTGCGGGCTCATACCCAGTAGGGAGTGTGCAGGAGGCAGCTGATTGATGTTTCTTTCTCATCGATGTTTCTAACTCTCTATCCCTCTCCCTTCCTCTCTGTAAAAAATCAGTAAGAGATGGGCCAGGCATGCCCTGGAGCCCTCTCACGATCCCTCCCTGGCTGGCCAACATCCTGTGTCCCTCCCCAGCCCCGACCGTGCACTGGTGGGGTTCCTTGGCCTGGCCTGCACCCTCTCACAATCCGGGACCCCTCGGGGGATGTCAGAGAGCCGGTTTCAGCCTGATCCCGCAGGCCAGGCCGAGGGACCCCACTGGTGCACAAATTTGTGCACTGGGCCTCTAGTACCTAATAAAAACACCTGTTACACTCTTATTGTTATTTTAAGTTGTTATTGGCTTTACTCCGGTTAAGGGTGTCAGTTATTACTTACTCTCAGCTTTCGGCTCTGCTTCCGAACCAGCTTGCCATGCTGGATGAAATGAACAGGGCACTGGTTCATGGCATTATCTGCTTTATGGCGAAGCCAGTCTTCATAGCCCTGAAAAAAAAAGAGAGAAAATTCCATGTGACAAGTGAGAGAAACGTGGAGGATCTCTCAGCTCCGGGCCAATCCTTTTGGATTTCGTTGTGATGGGCCATGACATGAGTACGGTACAGCCAGCCTTGGCCCATTGCACAAGTGAGGTGGTCAGGAGCCCTGGGGCCCTCACGCTCCCAGTTGTGTCCATGAGAAGGACAAATGTGGCCTCAGAACCACCAGAAATCACCTTTTATTTTCCTTGACCTCACATCCAACACACCCATTGGCAAATCCTGGCATTTCCCCCTCAAATGAATCCTAAATCTTCCACTTCTTCACGTCCTCTGGCCATCGTGCTGGTCAAGGTCCCAGCCTTCTTGGAGGTCCCAGAAGGGCCCTCCCAAAATGAACAGGGAGATGACTGGCCCTGTCACTGCTGGGAGCCCCAGCTCTACACCATCTAATGGGTTTTTCCCAAACTTTCTCCCATCTTGACATGTGTGGAATGGCCATTCTCGAGTCCCCTGTGGTGACACACCAGATGGCTCAAGCCAGGGCCATGGTTTGGGGCCCCAGAGGGGCCAGGGCCTGCTCACGGCCTGAGGTCTAGGGCAGAGTCTTCTGGTTCCCCTTCTACTGCACTCGCCTGGTTCCTAGTCCAAGTGTATGTATCAGAGAAGCCCACGCCACTGACACTGTGATGCCCTAGAGTGCACAGGTGGGCTTATGTGTATTCATGCATGTGCATGTGTGTGTGTGCACAGGTGCACGTTCACATGGCTTCTTGGTGTCTGTCTCCCTCACTGGAATGTCTTTTGTTCAGCAATATCAGCTCTAGGGCCTACAAAAAGACTCACTACATGAAAGCAGCTCAATCAATATCTGTAGAATAAATGAATATGTATAATACATAAAATTAGAAAAGAAAAATATTTTTAACCATATGCCTGGATCATGCTACACCCAGGGTCTTCTGCCTGATTTGCTACTCTCCACTCTGCCACTCAGGGCAGGAGAATGCATTTTTTAAAACAAAATCAAGACAAATAAAAGGATAAAAATAACTTCCCCAAATTGGTTTTTACCGTTTATATTACAAAAGTATTATGCGGTTTGAGGACAAAAATAAGAAATACGTACATAAATCACTCCTCCAAAAAAATAAACTAAAAATGTCCTATTCCTATCACTCCACAAAAACTATTAATACATAAATTATTACTACATCAATATAATTATATAGAAATACTAGAGGCCCAATGCATGAAATTCATGCAAGGGGCTCAGCCCTCGCAGCAGTGGCGGCTGCCTTAGCCCTCGCAGCCCCACCTTCGTCCAGCTGTCTGGTCTAATTAGCATATTACGCTTTTATTATTATACATAATTCTAGCCTAAGGGCGCACAGTTTTTTAAAATTAGAATTACACTGCACTTATTATACTACTTTGTACCCTCGATATATCATGGGCATTTTCCCATGGCAACCTGAATTATAATTATACATATAATTCTGATAAGCATCTTTACAATTGTATTTTTGTGCATATCCATTACATTATATATTCTTAGTACAGATTCTTAAAAAGAAAATGTCTGAGTCAAAAGACAAATAAGACTTTTGGGCTTTTAATCTGAACTGAACAAAAGTCCTCAAGAAACTTGGCACCAATTATATTTCCAAGACCTGAACTTAAATATTCTACCTTGAAGAGGCTGTGTCAGCATACCCACGCACATATGCATTTTATTGATTGTAACAAACATTGGAAGCTACTAATACCAGCTATTCCTATGTCAACTCAGACACCAGCACAAGCATTGACAAAGCAGCCTGACCTAATTCTCCTAACTAACAACTCTGCTGAATTCTTTTATTCTTAAATAGGCACAAATTCAAATTCTTTCCCCAGCCGAAGAAAACACACACTTTCCAACCAAGAGTTTGGTGTTTTCTGGATTAACATGCCTTCTGAGTTGGGTTTCACTGAATGTGGAAAGTGTGTTTAAGGATGATGAATTACTTCTTCTCTGTACTATTTCCCAGCACATGAAAGGGAAACCAGGCACCCAAAGAGCTGTCTACATCTCCAGATGTGGCTACACATCTGTACCCATGAGCTGTCATGTGGTGGAAATTCTCTGGAACTAGATAGTGGTGATGGTTGCCACACTGGCTAAATGGATAATGGAAATAACTGAGATGCATTTTTTTTACTGTTAGTCACTGGCTTTATTCATCAGGACCAGAAAGAACAATTCGATCCACACTGAGTGAGTCGGGAGTTAGCATGCTCGAGTATAAAGCCACACCCGACTTTCTGTAGGGAGCAGATGTTTGCAGTTAAGACCATCAAGAAAACAGCCACGTTAAGCAATCATCTAAAATCAGACACCATCCCTGGCTGATTCAGTGTGAAACTATAGTTTCTTCCTAAAACTCAAAGGGCACCAAATTAGCAATTAAGTTATAGAATCTCTCTCCTACACAAGCATCAATCTGAAACAGTTATAAAAACACATTTTTAAAACGTAGTTAAGCTTTTCTATGAACTAGCTAAATTAAACCGTATTACTATGGATAACAGGCGACAGCACACAACAAAGATAACGACCTTCTCCCTCTGCCTGTGAAGTCTTACCTGTTTTATAGCAGTGACAGTGATGACAAAGAACAGTGGCAGTCCACTCGTTACTGGACTTGTGGGTGTATCAATAATCAACTGCAAGTAAAAGAGAATTGTAGAGCCCTTGTCAGAAACACACATCGGTGACTTTAAACAGACTGGCTGGCTCTCTCACATGGCCACCCGACATTTGCTTTTACTTATTTTAAATTGCTTTATGGTTACCCAACTTCCTCCCACCACTAGACCTAAGTTAGAAAAAGAAGCAATTCATCCTATTTTACTATAAAACTGAGGGCAATTCTTTTTAACTAAGGGAAATGCTTAAGAAAACCATGTTAGCGGTGGCAAAGACACAGTCTGATACCAGTGTACATTTTATGTTAATTTACTACTCTGCTTCTGGCGCCACACTTTAATTATGTTATATGGATAACTTAATGTGGGGGAAATTTTAAAAGTCCTTCAATTGTATTTTGCATACTAGTAATTGAGAAAAACTGGATTGCTGTTTTAAAACACATCTGACGATTCGTTTCCTAATTCATAGCTCATTGTGATTTTCACAGTCCTTTCTCCCAGCTCTACCCCCTCCCCCAGCCGCCCCCTAGCAGCCCTCC